TTTTTATCCAGTGTTGTCTTTAAAGCCTGGAAATTTTGAAGCCATGGGGAAAAGAAATTTTGGGGAAGACTGAGATATATGCAATACTTACTTTCCTATTAAATATAAACTTGTTTTACTTATTTAAGAACACAAAATACATCATTTGTAACTTAGTTAGCATATATAATTGTATGACTTGGCATATTCATGGAATTTAAAATTGTAAATGTGTTTGTTTTCTACAAGAAAAATGGCAAGTATGCCCAGTACCTGAGAAGTAGCTGTGTGCTATTGTGCTATTGTGCTGTCATAGTGTATGTATCTTTAATTTTTGCTGTCTGAGAGGCAGGGGAAACAAGCGGAAGAGAGTGTATTATTTGAACAGAAACTCACTAGTAGGTATGACTACCAGGATGTTTGAAATTTAAACTGAACATAAAAAATATTGAACCCTTTAATCATGTATTATTTTTAAACTCATTAGCATATATATTAATTGTTACCAAAGATATTTACATTTATGCCCCTCCAAAATCTTGAAAATGTCATATAAGCCCACAGTATAAATGGATTTTTTTTGGTAGTTCCAGAAATCTCCGAATTGGAAATTTCCACTGGAAAAATTAAGAGCGTCCTCAGACTTTTTCATGCTGTGCATCTGGAAAATATAAGATGCTTTGTAAGATAAGGAAGAGAAAATGTTTCATAAGAGGTTTTTCATTGCTTCCCCAAACTTTCCAATTGTTTGACTGGAAATTTTCCACTGGAAAAAATGTAAAAAGTCCCCAGATTTTTTCGTGCTATACATTTGGAGTGTGAAAACCCTTGCTTTAAGAATGGACTCATTCTAAAAGAAAAAAAATATTTCAAAAGAGTCTTTTTTCCAGCACTCCCTGAAATTTTCTGATTTTTCTGTTGGAAAAATGGAAACTGTGTCCTCAGAAGAAAATGGGGGGGATTTTTTGTGTGTGTAGCTCTGCTCTTAACATCTCTCGTCAGAAGTCCTTTGATCACTTGAAAGAGTTATGCAGATGCCGAAAATTACTATTGTGGAATGGGCACTAAGAAAGCCGTAATGGACCTGGGACAAGAGATGAGGTCTGAACGAGAGAGAAAGTTCCCTGGGGTGGAGTTTTCCCCTGTTTTGACTGTGCAGTTCTAACGCTTCCTTTCACAGAAGAGCACCCAGACCGGGGTGATCTCCACGACAGAAGCCGTGACCCAGTCCTGCTGCTTCCAAGAGGCTGGCGTGCAGACAGATGTGGGTGGAGAGAACCTCCGAGCCGCAGGGCTTCCGCCAGCCCCGCCCGTGGATTACGCCGGTCTGCTCTCCTTCCTGCAGAACGTGGAAGAGACAGTCATCAGGGAGCTCAATAAGAACTGGAGAAGCCACGCCTTCGATGGCTTTGAAGTGAATTGGCTGGACCAGAACGAAACGGTAAAGCCCCGCTGATGCTGGGGGCGATGCTGAGGTCAGAGGTTGTTGTCCCCTCACTCCGTCTTCCTGGCGCAATTGACTTTTCAATAGAAAAAATGCTTTGGCACACACCCTGCTCCCCTTCCCCTCGGAGCTCCCTCTGCAAGGGAGGGCAGGACGTGGCGAGGCTAAATCCTCTTCTGGCTGGACCCCAAGCAGGGCCAGATCCTTTCCCCCCTTCTGGCTGCTCTTGTGTGGAAAGACAGGATGGGCAAAAGGAAACAGGACTGATGTCAGAACTCCTGTGGGAGGGCTTGTTCTGGCTGCCTTTCATCTGCTCTAAGCTGATGGCAAAGGGCAGGTGGGAAATTGTGGTGTAGTAGTTAACAAGTGTGCGACTAAACACTGGGTTCAAATTTGTGCTCTGCCAGGAAACGTTTTGCTGACCTTCAGCCAATCACTGTCTCTCTTCACTTTGCCTACCTCACAGGGTTGTTGTGAGAGATAAAATGGGGAAGGGAGAACAGTTTACACAGCCTTGAGCTCCTCGGAGGAAAGGGAAGCTTATACATTGCTGAAGCTGCAGCACTGGGCATGGAAGAGCGCGCAGGGTGGAGTTCTCTCTCGCTACTTCTGATGCTCGGATCAAAACTGAGCCTTCAGCTGCGCCACTGAAGTAGGGGGGAAAGAAAGAAGATAGCTTTAAAAGGGGGGGATTGGACAGATTCAGGGAGGAGAGGTCTATTGGTGGCTACTGGCCATGGTGGGTAAAGGGAACCTCCACCTTCAGAGGCAATAACTCTCTGAATACGAGTGCCGGGAGGCATCGAGGAAGTCCTTGGCCTCTCTTGCCCTGTTTGTTGCTCCGCCAAAGAAACTGGTTGGCCACTGTGTGAGACAAGATGCTGGACTAGATGGACCACGGTTTGGTCCAGCAAGGGCTCTTCTGATGTTATTATTCACCACATCACACACATTTTGCTCCTGTCAGCGTTCAAATTGCTCATGCAATTGTCATATTCTTCCTAGTGCAATTAGTACGTCTTGGGTGCGGTCAGACGGTGTGCCGAAGTGGTTTAAACTGTTCTGGTTCCAATCGGATTATATTTGATCCGGGACAAGTGTGATCACACTTACCTCCCTCACCGTGCAGCATATCGCTCCCGGGTGTCTACACTACCGGTGCGCAGCCGTGCGCATCGGCAGGGTTTTTTTCCACTGCTTGCGCATGCGCATAGACACCCATCCATATAATTGAAATCTTCACGCCAAAACCATGCCCTGAAGTGAACACTTCCCTTTAAACTTTTACAATGAAACTGGCCTCCGTGAAGTCCCGGACTCGTCTAAAGCCTAAAACTAAGCACCGTTTTTTAATTAGTTTTATTAACGCCGGGGCGAAGCTTTGTCCAAGTGCATATCGCCGATGCTAAAATAAAATGGCGGACGAAAAGTGGAAGCCTCGGGCTTCCGAGCAGAAGTGGCTCTACACCGGCGGAGGCGCGAATCACACATCAGGAAAATGCGGCTGGAACCGGAGCACCAGGAAACCACCACTTGGGGACCTGGTAGCAAAACACTCCGGTTTAAAGGGGGGTTTGAGCCGGTTGGCAATGGCTAGGGATGGGAGGCAGATATTGGCTGTGTGATCGCGCGTAAATAGTCCGTTTCTAACCGGCGGCCCGTCTGAACGCGCCCCTTTATAACTTCTTGGCATGCATACTCACATGATCCCACAGCAATTTATTTTTAATTTGTTTAACTCTTTACAATAAGGTCCTGTCCTACTGATGTGGTTCTTCAGGTGTTTCTCCAGGCTGTTCCTGTCCAGCCACAAGAGAGTTTATCCCAGGTTCAGCCGTACCAGAGACCTCCCGCGAGTCTGTAGTCTTCTGAGACCGCAGTGGGCCCACTACTCCTGTGCTGGAGCCAGGGGCTAGCCCTCTGGGTGCTTACTTGTTGTCTTTTTCAGGAGGGGGCGTGGCTCAGTAGTTTGCATGAGATACTGGGTCCCTGGCGGCATCCCTGGCGTCTCCACTGCACGGATTGCAGAAAGTGGGCTCTTTGCCTGCAGGGAGCCACTGATGGTCGGACTCAAGGGAGGGGCCAGTTCCTGCAGCCTCAGCCTCTTCCTTTGTCTTGCCCGGCCAGCACTGCTTATCCTTTTCCTCGGTCAGAGTCAGCGAGGTGTCGTGGTTAAGAGGGGCGGACTCCAAGCTGGAGGACCGGGTTTGATCCCCACCTCCTCCTCCACATGAAGCCTGCTGGGTGGACTCGGGCCAGTCACGGTTCTCTCGGAACTCTCTCAGCCCCACCAGCCTCACAAGGTGTCTGTTGCGGGGCGCGGAAGGGGAGGCGATTGAATACCACTTTGAGACTCCTTAAAAGGTAGAGAAAAGCAGGGTACAAGAATCAACTCCTCTTCTCCTCTTTCCTCTGCAGTTCTGCCTGCCTGCAATCTTGAGCTAGCCTGGCTCAGGACTGCCGTCCCAGCAACTTGCCAGACCCCTCCTGGGAGGGCCGCAGGGGCTTTCTTGCCGCAGACCTGGAGACTCTGTTGTCTAGGGAGCCATTCCCTACAACGGATGCTGTGTCTGGGCTGGGTGACCTCGTCTTTGAAAGTCCGGGGTCCAGAGGTGTGCTCCCTTAGACCATCTTGCTCTTCCTTTTGCAGTCAACACGGCACACTGTTGTGCCTCCAGGCTGCCGTCCCCGCCGTGCAGGGCTCTTTTTGTAGCAGGAACTCCTTTGCATATTAGGCCACACCCCCTAATGTAGCCAATCCTCCAAGAGTTTACAGAGCTCTTCTTACAAGAGCTACTGTAAGCTCTTGGAGGATTGGCTACATTAGGGGTGTGTCACTTAATATGCAAATCACGCCCATGAAACGTTTGGATCTGTCAGGGGGGCTGGGCCGGTTTGGCCGCTCCCTCGTTCCCATGGCGACCTCGTTGACGTAGGCAGGGACACTCTTTGTTCATTCCTCTGACCCTGTCTGCGTAGCAGCATCATTGCTTTGCTTCTCGTAGGTCTCCTGCCTGCACAGCCTCACATACCCTGAGGCTCAAGAACAGAAGCTGCAAGTCACCAGTGTTTCCTGGAATGCCACTGGGGCAGTCGTCGCGTGTTCATACGGGAGGTGAGTGAGCGGACCCAAGTGAACAGAGGCGGGAGCTCAGTATGGGAGGTCCTGCCGTGTGCAGAAGTCCCCGGGTCCAGTTCCCGGCATCTACAGCTGAAGGGCGCCAGGGAGCTGGGCGGCTGAAGACTCCCCTCTGGCTGAGGCCCTGGAGGCGTCTGCCGGTCAGAGTAGACAGTGCTGAGCTAGATGGACCAAGGACCTGACTCAGCGTACAGTCGCTTCATCTGTGTGACCATCCCCAGAGCGTCTGCTGGGCTGCCTTTGGTCTCGAAACTTCACGGAAGGCGCCTTTTCTCTTTACTCTCAAGCTGTCTGCTCCTCATAGAGATTCTGAAAGGTTAATTGGTTAGATTTAAATCGGTTTGCTTAGGTTACCAAAAACTCAATGTCTGTTTCTTTTTGAAGTATATTATAAGAACGACGCAGCAGCCTGAATAGGCCAGACTGGCCTGATCTCGTCAGAGCTCGGAAGCTAAGCAGGGCCAGATGTGGTTAGTACCAGTGTTCCCTCTAAGCTGAGTTGGTGTGGGCTAGCGCTCAGTTTTTTAGCCTCCGGCTCACACATCTTTGCCTTAGCTCAGGAAGGGTGGCTCCAGAGCAAACGAATTCATGCAGAAGCCAAATCGCTCGCTCACAACTTTAATGCCCATAGCTCACAAAGTGGAATTTTAACTCGAGAGCCAGTTTGGTGTCGTGGTGAAGTGCGCGGACTCTAATCTGGGAGAACCGGGTTCGATTCCCTACTCCTCCACTTGCACCTGGCTGGATGACCTTGGGCAAGCCGTAGTTCTGATAAGAGCTGTCCTTGAAAAAGAGCAGTTTCTGTCAAGAGTTCTCTCAGCCCCACCTCCCTCACAGGGTGTCTGTTGTGGGGAGGGGAAGGGAGAGGAGTTTGTAAGCCACTCTGAGACGCCTTTGGGTAGTGAAGGGCGGGGTATAAATCCATTCTCTTCTTCCTCTTCTTCTTCTTCACAAAACTCCACAGCTTAGAGGGAGCATTAGTCAGTACTTAGATGGGAGACAACCAAAGAAGACTGAGGTCGCTGTGCAGAGGAAGTCAGTGGCAAACCACCTCTTGCCTTTGGTGGAGCCCCGTGGCCCTGGGGTCGCCACGAGTCAGCTGTGACTTGACGGCACACAAATTATTATCATCATCAGGAATGGTGAGGACTCCAAATTTCTGTGAAATGGTTAGAAAGAGAGGCCAGCTTTAGTATGTTGTTTCCATTCACTAGTAACAGTAATGCAACCCCATCCCCCCTTGAAGTAATCTAAAAAATGAACCGATAAGCCCGTGAATGACAAGAATGTCATATTTGGGAGTAAGTCCTGTTAAAATCTGTGGGACTCACTTCAAAGCACGCAGGGACGGGATGGGGGGGAATAAATGATTCTTTGTCCCTCCAGCACAGGGGGAGGTCCTCTCCTTAATATTCCAGCTGTAGCTGCCCATATACGTGCCTCCTGCACTGAGGCAGGCAAGGAAGGCAGATGTTCAAGCCCGGATTGTCGGAGAAGCAAGATTCCCTTCCGCTGGTCCCCTCCCGCTAGCCCAGGAGTGGTCCAATCCAGCTGTAGGCAACCTCCTTTCTGACCCCTCCCTCCTTCCTTCCAGAGTGGAAGATGGGGACTGGAGCACAGAGAAATCGTACGTCTGCACCTGGAATCTGGACCGTAGAGGGCTGAACCCCCGTCGGCCTGACCTTGTGGTGGAAATCCCCAGTTCTGTGATGTGCCTGGCCTTCCACCCACAGCAGCCGTCGCTGGTAGCCGGTAGCTGATCCTCTTTCTCCTTCTTCCTGCATTCCCATCTTGTTGCCTGTAACCGCATTTGCTCCTTTTCTCTGGTGCATCCCCTCCTTTACTGCTACAGCAGAAACCAGCATCCTGCAGCATTAGGCCCTTGAAGGGGGTGGACTGTGATGGCGAGAGGGAGAGGATTCTTGAGGAAATAACCTACGGGGGAGGAGGAGGAAGCAGAGGAGCCGGACCGGGGCCATGAAGAAGGACGGCTGGTGTGAAGAGGTCCCCCGCACACTCCTCCTGTGTCCCCCGTCCCCCACTCCCAAGGGCTAGCAACTTGTCATGTTTTATTTTAAAAAGAAAGCTGAGCTGCTGTGGGATGTCCTGGTTGAAGAATGTTCAGCTGAAGGGGTTTGGAGTGAGTTTGGAGTGAGGCCCGGGATGAAATGACATGTTTGAACACCCTACTCAGCAGTGGTGGGCAATCTTAGGGAGGGAGCTTCCATCTCATTTTCTTGCAGAGGGATGTTTCAGTGTCATCAGACCAGCAAGGTAAAGGACGGCCAATAGCCTGTGTGCAGTACGAAGGGATGACTTAACCTTCTACACACGGAGACTTTGGCGTTGCTGGATGGGTGTCTCTTGTCCCTTTCAGGAGGCCTTTTCAGTGGGGAGGTCCTGGTGTGGGACACCAGCAGGCTCGAAGACCCCTTGGTCTGGAGGACGGGCATGACCGACGACACTCACACCGATCCGGTTTACCAGGTGCAGGGGAAAGCAAGGTTGGCGCTTTGGGGGAGGGAGGGCTTTCAGAGGCCGCTTCCCTGCTCTCACCGGGTCCTTGGTCACACAGACGCTCATAGGGAGGGAGGGACTGGCTTTGCCAGAGGATGGCAAGTCTCTTTTTCCAGGGAAGGCAAGAGAGCCCCTTACAGCCAGTGTTCCCTCTAAGCTGAGTTAGTGTGAGCTAGTTCACAGTTTTTTAGCTTCTGGTTCACAGATTTTTGTCTTGGCTCAGGAAGGAGGGCTCCAGAGCAAACTAACTTATGCAGCAGCCAAGTCGCTTGCTCACCACTTTAATGTCAGTAGCTCACAAATTGGAATTTTTGCTCACAAGACTCCACAGCTTAGAAGGAGCATTGCTGGCAGCTGAGTGCACCCTTCCCTTTTGACTCCCGGGGCATGAATCAGAAGTGTTGTGCCCTGCCGGAGGCTGCCTCTGTGTAGCACTCCTTTTTCCTTAAATTGTGGCCACACATAAGGCTGCTGGACCCATAGGCCTACCAAGGTGATGCACATTGGAGCCAAAAATCCTAAATATAAATACACGTTGATGGGGTCTGAACTGGCAGAGACTGATCAAGAGAGAGATCTTGGAGTTGTAGTGGATAACTCACTGAAAATGTCGAGACAGTGTGTGACTGCAATAAAGAAGGCCAATGCTATGCTGGGGATTATTAGGAAGGGTATTGAAAACAGATCAGCCAATATAATAATGCCCCTATATAAATCAATGGTGAGACCTCATTTGGAATACTGTGTGCAGTTCTGGGCACCACACCTTAAAAAAGATATTATAGCTTTGGAAAAAGTGCAGAAAAGGGCAACTCGAATGATAAAAGGGTTGGAACACTTTCCCTATGAGGAAAGGTTAAAGCGCTTAGGGCTCTTTAGCTTGGAGAAAAGACGACTGAGGGGTGACATGATCGAGGTTTATAAGATTATGCATGGGAAAGAGCAGGTAGAGAAAGAGGTACTTTTCTCCCTTTCTCACAATACAAGAACTCGTGGGCACTCCATGAAACTGCAGAGCGGTCGGGTTAGAACGGATAAAAGGAAGTACTTCTTCACCCAAAGAGTGATTAACACATGGAATTCACTGCCACAGGAAGTGGTGGCGGCTACAAGCATGGACGGCTTCAAAAGGGAATTAGATAAGCATATGGAGCAGAGGTCCATCAGTGGCTATTAGCCACAAGGTATAGCTAGGGGCTCTGGGGCTTATGTTCTAACTCGAATGCAGCAGTAATCCAAAGATTTCAATACCACTTGTATCCTTTCTGAAATGAAATTGGGAAGGCAAGATTGTCCTCAAAGCTTAGAGAAGACTTGCCTAGCGGATATTGGGTTTAGTTATACAAACTAACAATCCTATTGTTATTCTGCAATTGCACTGAGTGCCAACTTCAGCCTCCTGAGAATTTTCAGCTAAATAACGTTTTTCACCCTCATGGCTACAAAAATTTTGACAAGCAGCATCCACGGAAGTCAAGCAATTAGATCAACCTAGCCACCTTTGTCTGGCTTCCTTCCCCACCAATGACAAGAGTACAAATGAACTATGAAATTAATACTTTAGGAGTTCACACAGAATTTCCAATCCAGGGGATCCTTGGTATTGGGGGGGGGCAGTAATCAAGATTACAAAACAAACCTGGAGTGTGAATCCACACACACCAGTAGAGTAGCCTGCCACCAGTCCCTTTGTCTACCCACATGGAAGCCAAGGGGCAAGCTTCCAACCTTATTGGGATTAAACAAGAAAGTCAACCCTGCAAGGCTGGCCATTTGTAGAATGAGTTTCCGCTAAAGATTAACCAGCAAGTGGACGTTTTAAGTCCAAGATACTGGAATTAGATTGCAGCATCTTAAGTAGAGAACAACCAATATAAAGTAATTTTATTAACAAGAGTATTTCAAAAGGAACAAAGCAATGATTGACAAAACAGCTATATAGTTAAAGTTCTAGCTACACACCACAACCGTAATTCATATTTACCAGGTGTTACACTTCTTGGTTGAAGTTACACACTTTGGAAGTTTGTCCAAAGAGGATTGATTTGAGTGTGTGCCAGGCAAACATCTGTCCTATGGTTCGGTTAGCCCATCGCCTCGGGATAGCTGAAGCTGAAAGCTCCAGCTGCAACTGACCACAAAGAACAGAAATGCTAAACTTCTTAAAGTCTAAGCTTTGAACAGGCTGGGGCCCTTTAGCCAATCCAAAACTCAGGCTGCCAAAGTTCTCTCGACATGAACGTGTGACAACAAATGGCTCAGAAGAGAAACAGTTTATTTTCCTTCTGTAGTGTAAATCAAAACATCAACAGAAGGAGCGAGGTTTGGTCAGTGAACAAATGGTGTGGCTCCGTTTGTCTCTGTTATCCAAAGGCACAAAGTCGACGTCAGCAACTGGACGTTTCCCTTCAACCCTTAGTGCAAGCCTAGATCTTAATATTAAACCTGAGTGATGTTTAACTAAAGAACAAGAAACTGAGCCGGAGGTCCAATTTCTTGACACCGTCGCTCACATTTCTCTGCGTAGAATTTGTGTTATTTCGGTGTAGAAACCACCTATGGCTGTGCCTGTCGTCAGAGATGGCTCATTTCCTTGTTTCTGTTCCTGCTGGGGGACCGAGACTGCCCTGCCTGGCTCTGCCCCTGGCCGGGTGGGCTGGGCTTGCAAGGGCTGAAGAGCCTGTCTGCTGGAGCACAGTGGCTCATGGGATCCCTGCTTGTGCTACCGTCCAGATAGCTTTCTCCAGGAACGTCTGCTTGCCCCCTCATAGGGCAGGGGGAGAGTCAGCTTGGGAAGGTCCCGCCTCTGGAGTTGGGTGGGCAGGGCTACTAAGCCCTTTCCTGCAGAGGCAGGGCTTCTCGCCAGGGTCTTGCTTGCTCAGAGTACCGGTGGCTTTAGCCCGGCACAGTCTCTGGTCTTTGACCTCTCGCTTTTGTTGCCAGGTTGGCTGGCTACAGCACACCAAGCACGGCCACCCCTTCCACGTCCTGAGCGTGTCCACAGATGGGAAGATCCTGGTGTGGCAGGAGGAGAGAGACGGCCTGCTGAAGATCACGGATGGCTTTGCCTTGGTGTCGCAGCAAATCCCCAGGAGCACTAAACTGAAGAAGGTGAGAGAGCTGTGCGGTCTGCAACGCAGAGGCCTGGCCGAACGGGCACCTAGTCTGAAAGGCCTCAGGGCTGTTGCCTTTTGGAGAAGAGCAGAGAATCTAAACTCCGTGGCCTCCCCTCACATGTCCTGTCCCCCTCAGGTCAACAGCCACTACATGCTCACAGCCGTTTGATTGGTTCTGCTCCCTTTCCACACAGGCTAGCTGAGCCGAAGGACGGGGGAGGGGGGGTTAATTTGTAAGGACTGTGCAACTACAGTCCCCCGTGATGGAAATGGCAGCTCAAGAGGAAAAGCCTGTCCTTATGGAGCAGGAATTACCTGTGCTGGCAGGAGTCGCCTGCTCCGTGTGCCTTGCTCCACAGCTGGTGGCTGTCCAATCCATAGTGTGGCCTAGATCCAGGGGAGGATTTGTGCAAATGGAAAGGTGGGGCAGTTCTTGCCCATGCCGCCCCCCCCTCAGGCTATTCCTGTGGGTCTGCCAGAAAAATCATTTCAGGAGCATCTGGGGCTGCAGCAGGAGGGGAAGGGGAGAAAGTTGGTCTTCACTAACGGATATCCCTTATCAGTGGAGTTTCCACTGCCTCCAGCTTGCACTCTGGAAATATTTTGAAAGGTGTTCGCTTTCCACAAGAGAATTACCCTTGTGGTTTCTTAGCAAAGTGTGCTGAAAGGCACTGCTTTTGCCCGAGTCCTTGAACCTCATAATGTCCTCCTCCTTGCTCCCAGCATTCCCGAGGAGACGTGGCCGTGGGCGTGACCTCCCTCTCCTTCTCCCACTTTGAGCCCAGCGTCTTTGTCGCAGGCACGGAGGGCGGCTGTGTGCTGAAGTGCTCCACGGCCGTCGAGACAGTTGCCATCCTCCAGAGAGGCAGCTCCTTTCCGCTGAAGGCCCCGGCCCAGTTTGTCTTCTCCCCCCATGGAGGACCAGTCTATTCCGTGAGCTGCTCACCTTTCCACAGGCAAGTCGATGTGCACCACCTCAACCTGAACAGCAGCTAGCAAGCGAGGCAGCGGGGGGTTAGGCCACGGGCCCACCAGGAACTGTAGCAAGCTGGCAAGTAGTTGAACGGTTTATCAAGGGGATCCATGAATTTGTACCTCTGTTTAGTATGGAGATCAGCTGCTAGCTAAGTACATGCTTGACCAACATCTAAAGCTATAAGGCAGCAAAAGGATCTCTTGCTTTAAAGCTTAATAGCCACCAGTGGCTGTGAGCTACAAGGTATAGGTGGAACACTTTGTCTGAGGCAGTGATGCTCTGTATTCTTGGTGTTTGGGGGGCAGCAGGAGGCGGCCTTTTTCGAGTTCTGGCCCCACTGGCGGACCAACCTCCTGATCTGAGTTTTGACCACTGTGGCACAGAGTGTTGGACTGGATGGGCCATTGGCCTGATCCAACATGGCTTCTCTTCTGTTCGTAAGGTTTTTCTTTCAATGCTATGGTCCACATTTAAGCAAGTTCTGGCTGTATGTCTGCAAAAGATTTTGATTTAGAGATGCTGTGCTTTAGAACTCTTAAATGGACAACACGAAAGAAATGGACACCTTACTTAGACAATGGAAGAAAGTTTGAGTCTGGGGGCACCTTTAAGACCAACGAAATTTAATTCTGGGTATGAGCTTTCATGTGCGTGCACACTTCTTCAGATACATGCACGCACACCAGCGCTTATACCCAGAATTAAACTTTCTTGGTCTTAGAGGTGCCACCAGACCCAAAGTTTGTTCTGTTGCTTCAGACCAACATGGCTGCCCACTTGAATCTTACTTAAACAAGGCAGCAGTTTCTTAAAAACTTCTCTCTGCTGAAGTTTCCTGACTCACCATTTGCTTATTTCCAGGAATCTGTTTTTGAGTGGAGGGACCGACGGCCACATCCATTTGCATTCAATGTTACAAGCTCAACCACTTATTTCTCTTCAGTTATCAAAGAAGTATATTTTCAGTGTGAGGTGGTCTCCGGTACGCCCCTTGGTTTTTGCAGCTGCTACTGGTGAAGGTAGGTGCTCACTCGCTTTCAAGAGAGACTTGTGCAAGGAGAATACTTAAATTTGAGGCTGCATCAATAGACAGGATAACACTACAACGAGATTCAAGCAAAGAATGGTCAAGCAGATTTAAAAAGTTGATTCTAAAAGAAATTTTGTGCTCTAACTTGGAGCAATGACTAAAACAGGTACCACTGAAGTGGAAGGCGTTTAAAATGACAATGTTTGGAGAGTGAAAAATGTAGTCACAGTAAAAAAAAACAACCCTCCATGAAATTAATTGCTACCTGGTGATTTTACGTGAGACCCCTGGACACAAAGCAGCACGTTTATTCTGTATGAAACCTACAATTCTGTGACTGGCAGACGCGTAGCTTGGTCTAGAACGGTGTGTGGCTGCCCCTTCTGCATAAAACACATCATTTTCAATTTTGTTTTAGGCAATGGCCAACTGGCGATGACGGCTGATGCTCATGCAAACCCTGGAGAAGGCCTGTGGCCACGCTTCAGGTGGGGGAGGGGCGCTGGGTCTTGCTGTCTAAATGCTTATGTGTAACTGCTGCCATTGAGACTTAGGTCCCTGCGAATGTCACTTGGATTGCAGCCAGGGGCAACAGCTGGGCACTGATCAGAACCGGGGACTATTTAAAACTCTTCCCGTTTCCTCTCTCATTGTCTGTTGAGGCTCTCAGGATTTTGTGCCAGAACTTTGTACTGTGATTATTAAATTGCACATTACTAAATGTGTACCTTAGCAAAACAGCTGCTGCTTTTCATGCTATTAGCTGGCATAACGTTACTTTTCTTTGCTTTGAAGGGGAAGTGCAGCTGTTCGACTTTGGGAAAAGCTCTCAGAAGCCATCCATTTCTATCCAGCAGACCTCTGACCACACCCCTATCTACTGTTTAGAGTTCAACAGCAGGCAGGCCCAGCTTCTCGCCACGGGAGATGGCAGCGGCACAGTGAAAATATGGCAGTTAAGTTCGGATTTCACAGAAGGAGGACCACGAGAATTGAACCACCTCGACCAGTTAGCAAATGAGATCACAGATTAACAGGGACACTAATAAAAGTCGGTGTATTTTATCAGCCTTTAAACATCTATGCAAGGCACTACGAATGGCTCCGTAGGTTGCTTGGAAGAGACACGGGCGCCAGCAGAGATGTGGGGGGTGGGGGAGGTGTTTTCCGCCATCAAGGGCAGCAGACCCTTTCAGGGCACCATGCACCACCAGCCAGAGCCCAGTTTCGCTTGGACCAGGAACTTTTATTGAAGCATACACGGCAACAGGTTTGGCTCTTTTTTGTACTAAGGAGAGTTTAAGCTAAGCAGTTTTAAGGTTACACCAGAGAGTCACATTGATTATTTTAGAGCACAACGATGGACACATGCAGAGAGTGAAGAGGCAGCAGACAAGAGTGCGTTGGGGGGGGGGGGGGGGTAGTGCTAGTGCTGGATGATCAATTCACGAAGAGTGAGCGGGTAAATTCGATGTAGTCGTAGGCGGAGGGAAGCTCTCTGCCTTTGCTGTCCATGTAGGGCTTCATGTGAGAGATGCAGTAGTCCGCCTGTTCCCGGCTCAAGTTCTGCGAGGCGAGAGAGAGAGAAGGGGTGAGAGCTGAGCAGGTGGGGAGAGGGAGACAGCAGCTGCTGCTCACGGGGAAAAGCGACGGGAGGGGTTCCGGCTCTAGGTTAGGTCTCACCGAACATGACCCTGTCAGTACCTTGCTCCAGCTTCATTGCCGCCAGGCAAAGCCCTGGTTATCAGAGAGGTAACACCAGAGGAACAGAACCTGGCATATCGCTGGCTCATCTACACAGAACATGAGACCGAGAACTCGCAGCACGGTGTGAACAGAGCAGAAGGCCAATGCTGGGCCACAATCCGCACAGGAGCCATGGCTCAGTGGTAGCTCCTCTGCTTGGAATGCAGGTGGTCCCAGGTGCAACCCCCAGCATCTCCAGTTCAAGGATCTACCTGAGACCCTGGAGAGCCGCTGCCAGTCTGAGTAGACAAGACCGACTTGGATGGACCAAGGGCCGGATTCAGTACAAGGCAGCATCAGGTGTTCACCACTCCCATCTTGCAGCTGATTTAAAATGTCCTCCTTTCTGCAGCACATGCTGCAGTTAAACATTAACCAACACTGGCACCTTTAAGACCAACAAAGTTTAATTCTGGGTATAAGCTTTCGTGTGCTACCCACCTGAATTGACAAAAATTGGCACCTGAACAGCCAGAGCAAGATGACAAGCAGCGGGAGGACCTGTCAGTCTGCCTGTCGTGAACGGCTTGTTTAGTGGCCTGGGATGCAGACAGTGGGGTACTCTGCTTTCCCCGGACCAGATAAAGGCCCAAGAACAATCCCCGACTGCCACTGACTTCGGTGCCAATAAGGACTTACTTGGTAGAGTTCCTCCTTGGTCACGTAGGGCTTGCCCTCTGAGCTGAGGGCACGGAAAGCACTTTCGATTTCTTCACTGGATTTCACATTCTCGGTCTCCCTGCTGATCATGAACGCCATGTATTCTTGCAGAGAGACGTGTCCATCCCTGTATAGAGAAACACGAGAGGTTTTTTTCTCCCTGCAAGCTTGGCAAGGCAGAAATACCGAACAAAGACTCTGTTTGAAAGGGCACGGCTGGAAAACAAGTCGCACGGTGACCAAGAATCAGGCCAAGTCAGTTTCCAGGATTAGAGACAGTAATAAAGAGATCACAGAGAGGAACAATTTACTCGGCTTCAAGGACCACTTTGGAAGCAGGAAAAGTGGGGGCAAGACACATTTGGTGCAGTATATGTCTAGTTTATAGTTATCTTACTAAGGGGAGACCTTGAGTATCACGCCTTTAACTCTCAGTATAAAGAGCAATAGGGTTCCCTCCACCATCTTTCCCATCCACAAGCACTTCTGGCAAGTGGGAGGAGGGCCAGAATTCCTTGGAAGCGAAGTGGGATTCTCAGAGGGCCGCTGCTCCCCTGGCTCTGGGGCCCCCACCCCAGTCCAAACCAGGCCCCGTCGTCACTGCATACCTGTTGGGATCAACTGTGTCGAGGATAGCTTCAAACTCTGGATCCGGCTCTCCTTCCTCCACCATGGGCAAATCGTAGCCTAGCGAGCGCAGGCAGGACTTAAACTCCTGGTGATTCAGCCGGCCAGATTTATCCTTGTCGAAGTGCCTGGAAGTGGAGACGACGAGCCGTTAAGTGGTCAGCTCTTTTTTCAGGCAGATTACAAAGGCCCCCCAAGTGACACTCCCACCTACAAAGGAATCCAGCCATTGATCGTTTATATCTAGTCACTGGGCGTTAAGAATCTGACTGCCTTGGCCACTCCCTCCCCGTCTCTCACTCTCCCAAAATCTGTGGTGAAGGGGACTGATTCACCCTTCTGAGGAGTTTCTGTGCTCTCAAGGGCCTGCGCAGGCCAATTTCTCCCTCTCCCCACCTCCAGTTGACCTGACTGGCATGCTGCCCCCAGACCAAAGAGCAGGCTCAGTCCTCCTCAGGCTGCTTTGGGTGGTGAAGATGGCGGGGAAGTGTCTTAATTTACCAGCTACATATTCTGCATATCCAGGGAGTCTCCCAATGTAGGCAGTAACCCCAGTCTTGTCTGTCAGTGGGCCCTTTCGTGGCCTTTGTGATGGGAAATGGGGGGTTGGGGAGGAGAGAGAGAAACCCCAGTGGGAGGGCGGATTTTGAAGTCTCTCCTTTCGGGGCTTCGTGAGGGCTGAAGCAGGCCAGTTTTCTTTCTGCTCTTCTCCTACCTTCCCAGAGCGCCCACTGCCCTCCGACACCATTTTTAGTGTCCCTCCTCCCGTTAATCTGCGGCCCCTTCTTTCTGCATCCCTAGTGGGCACAGCCCTCCCCACGTACGCAGAGACCCCCAGCTTGTCTGCGGGCGGCCTGGCTTCACCGCTTATCTCGACAGGCTCAGGTGGGCGGCCGGCCGGCCGTGTTGGTCTGAAGCAGCAGAACAAAGTTGGAGTCCCGCGGCACCGTTAAGACCGATACCGCTTTATTCTGGGTGCAAGCTTTCGTGCGTATGCGCTGGACTCGGACTTTGTTCTCCTGACAGACGCGAGACACCCCCTTGGCCAGTACTGCAGTCAAGCACTAATGGCAAACTTTAATTGCCGATCACCCAAGGTAAGTGCCCACGACATCTCCAGTATCCTCCTGCCTTTAGCTCCAAGTCAGCACAACACTGGGAGGGAGGCTACATCCTAGTGCGCAACATGCCTGTTTACTGTTTTTAAAAATAAAAGGCAAACCCAGGGAGGAGTCCTGGAACATCCCTGAGGCAGCTCCCTGACTACACCCGAGAGCCTAGCCTCCCCCAAGGTCAGTAGACTGAAAGGGATTTGGGGTCATTCGCCGCTGTGTGCCATGGACGCTGCAAACTTACTTAAACATCATGCTGAACTCCTTCAGGGCTTCTTCAGTGACTCCAGTGGTGTTTCTAGAAGGAAGAGGAAGCAGTTGAGTGGAAGAGTGGCAGTAAACCAACCGGATTCACACAGTAGACTTCCCCAGGGCTCTTCCTTGCACTGTTCGGGTAGTGGAACCATGAAGGCCACATGCAAACATGGCTCTCCTGGAGATATTCTCAACCCCTAGGAGAGGGGCTGGTGAACTGGGTCCAGGAGACAGTAAAAGTACAGATGAGGAAGGGGGTGGTTGCCCCTGTTTTGAAGTGGGTGATGGGGCACCACGCCTCAAGAAACCTACTCTGGACCAGTGTTCCCTCTAAGCTGAGTTAAGTGTGAGCTAGCGCACAGTTTTTTAGCCTCCAGCGCACACATTTTTGCCTTCATGCAGGAAGGATGGGGCTCCAGAGCAAACTAATTTATGCAGCAGCCAAATCGCTCACTCACAACTTTAATGCCGGTAGCTCACAAAGTAAAATTTTTACTCACAAGACTCCACCGCTTGGAGGTAACACTGCTTCTGGACCCAGGAGAATTGAATAACTACCATCCCATCTCAAATGTACCATTCTTGAGCAAAGCGACTGGACGGGTGGTGGATGGGCAACTTTAGGGATTTCTGAATGAAGTGGATTGTTTGGATCCATTCCAGTGTGGTTTCAGGCCTGTTTATGGGACTGAAACGGCCTTGGTCACCCTGGTGGATGACCTGCCCCGGGAGATGGACAGGGTGTGTGTGTGTGTGTGACCCTGTTAATTCCCCTGGACCTCTCAGCAGCTTTGATGTCATCAACCATGGTATCTTTCTAGACCATCTTTTGGGACTGGCACTGTGTCAACTTCGCCTGTTTTCTCAGGCTTGGTAGGGGGAGTGGGCCCAGACAAATAACCTTGAGTCCCAGTCAAGCCTGGCATCATCTTTCCCCTGGGAACTATGGGCCGTTATTTTGGTGGGCCTCTAGCTTCGGTGTGATTGGCCCCGAGCCATTAGGGTTTTGCTTGATTTAGTATAATTGCTTGCTTCACGTGCTTTCCCCCAGTTCTAACACAGAAACATTTGGAATCAGGATCCTATCAATGTCTCAATAAACTTCCTATTCTTTTGAATGACTGTTGTTGGGAAGTCTGACACACTGTTCTGGGGTTGTTTCAGTCCAACATAATGCTGTGGAACTGTTACTCTACCACTTGGCCTCTGGCCCACGGGCCCCCACAAGACTCTGTCTTGTCTGCCATGCTTTTCAACATCTACATAAGCCCCTTGGAAGAGGTCATCTGGAGATTTGGGTGGAGTGGTCACCAGTATGCAGACAGCACTCAATTCTATTTCTCACAAATTCCAGGGAGGCTGTGGAAACTCAGCAGGTGATGCTCTGTCCTCTTGGTGCTTGGGGGGGGGGCAACAGTGGGAGGGGCTTCTAGTGTCCTGGCCCCACTGCTGGACCTCCTGATGGCATCTGGTATTTTTGGCCACTGTGTGACAGAGTGTTGGACTGGATGGGCCACTGGCCTGATCCAACACTGGCTTCTCTTAGGTTCTCTTATGTTTATGTTCTTATGTTCTCCTCTCTTACTGTGTTGTGTGTGTTTTATTGAATTTTTAAATATATATCTTGGTGTTTGCTGCCTATCTGGGTGGAAAGCTGGAACAGAAATGTTTTAAATAAACAATTACTAAGTGCACGGGAGAGTATTTGTGTCAGTGTGCCCATCCACATGGTTCCAATGCACATGACGGGCGTTATGTGAATCCAAGCCGTGGGGAAGCAATTAACACTGAGGTCAAGTACACACTGGGACAGTGGGTCAATTCAGGCAACAGCTCAAAAACCCGTTATCCCAAGAGCTTTGAGGAGGCTGCCATCAATTAAGGCCAGGGACAGAGGCCGGATTCAAACGGGAGCTGTCTTGGCTTGGCTCGGCCACCCGTTCCCAAGGCATGGTCCCCATCCACAGGGCGTTCATTACCTGGCCTGTATTTGCTGCTCTAGATTGTGCTGCATCCTCATGCCGAGTTGGTCCAGCTGGTCCCACTGCTGCGCCAGCCCCACCGTGCTGTGTTCCGTGTACTTGTTGTCCAGGATAAGAGCTTCCTCCATAGCTGCTCCAAGGTCCTCGATCTTCTTGAGCTGGCTCCTCATTGCTCGGATCTCCTGGTGCTTGCGCTGCGCGGAAGAGGGAAAGCCACCGTGTGACGTACGCAGGTCGGGAGGGGGCGGTTGGTCGGAGCGAGGAGAAGGCCATCAAAGACACCAAGCTTTCTCTCCGGGATTAAAAGCATCCCGGGTGACCCTCACGCATACAAGTCGCTAGCAGGGCTGAATTTCCACTCCGGAAGCAAGGAAGCAACAGAAGGTCAGCACCTCTGAGGTCTTCCTGCCACTGTGGACCAGAACTGGAGGGGCTTTCCCCCTCACCAAAGGAGGCAACAGCCCTGACTAGTTTAGACAGCCCTGCCTCTAGAGGGAGCCGATGAGTCCCTCACCAGGACCCTCCCCCTCCCCCAGCAGAGAACACGGTATTGTGAAATCAGAGAAAGGAACATCAGCAGACGGTGCAAGAGGATCATTACAAGCTGGACGCACTCGGAGAGCCTTTTGGGTCTGATGCTCCAAGGAAAATGAGATCTCTCTCTCTCATGTTCCATCTCTTTTCATAGTGGGTATCTTTTATCTTAAGGCAGGCTACTTTGTTGATTCCTGCAGACAACCAGCAAGTCTAAACACATTGTGCCAGGATCAGAATAAGCACGTAGGCAATTTACTTATGAGATTTAGGTTCCATTCTGGAACTTAAGCTGACACATGTTGGCCTCCACAGGGGTCCTCCGTCCCTGTTTGCTTTCAGCAAGGTGGCTGGATCATCTGCCTTCCTAGCATCCCTGGGACCCACATTCTCCTCTGGGGATTCATAGGACAGTGAATGCCACGTGCTGCCCATCACGACTGGAGGAGTACTCAAGAGTTGGGTCTGTTTAGCCTGGGAAAGAGAAGGCTTAGAGGGGACATGACTGCAGTCTTCAAGTATCTGAAGGGCTGTCCTGTAGAAGATGGAGCGGATCTATTCTCTCTTGCTCTGGATTGCCAGACTAGATCTAATGGGTAGAAATTACAAGGGAGTCGTTACCGGCTAAATATCAGGAGGAACTTCCTAACTGTAAGAGTGGTTGAGCAGTGGAACAGACTGCCTCGGGAGGTGGTGGAGGCTCCTTCGCTGGATGTTTTTAACTGCAGGTTTTTAAGCAAAGGCTGGACAACCATCTTTCAAGTATGTTGTGGGGCTCTCTTTCAGCTATGCTTCTGCAGAGTGCAGGGGGTTGGACTGGATGACCTGCAAGGTCCCTTCCAACTCTAACATTCTATGATTTTATGTCGCCCTTGCCACTCACAGTGAATACAAACTGTTTCACACAACAATCAGAATGTTGTATGGATGAGGCCCAACTGATGGTCTTATACGGGAGATAGTTTTTTAGGCTAGGCTCTGAAGAACCGCAAATCTAGCTGTAGGAGCCCACATGGCTTTATGCTGGCTTTTCCTCAAACCGCAGGGACTTAGGGTCTGATGGGGCCCAGCGGGACAGCTGTTTGGAGAAAAACAGCTTGGAATTGTACTGTTATTGCAAGGCCCTCTGGATCCAAGCCCTCCTTCTCAGGGCTCCTTACTTACAAGGCACCAGGCAGGTGGACAACAGCCAACAAAAATTCCCTTTTTGACCTTCAGTTCCAGATAACACAGTCATTAAACGAAACCTTCCCAGACCCTCTGATTAACTGCAGGGAAAAGTCCATACTTTAGTCGCTTCCAGCTGTGACTCCAGGGTTCCCGATTCCTCCACCATACATGACCTAAAACACAAGAGTTGCAATGAGGGCAGGGCTCTCCGTAACCAGAACAAAAAACTCAGATGGGGCTCAAAATCAATGCCACGCCTGTTCAGCGGATCGCCTAATTCCACTGCCAAGGCAGGATTTTTGAATTGTGTGTGTTTTTTTTTAAACACTCGAGCGCTGGTCAGAATCCATCAGCATCTCCTGCACAACGTGGAGATTTCCCCCCCAGACTCTGAATCCCTGCTGTAGCCCTATTGCCAGTTTTTAATAAGAGAAAAGCTTCACATTCAAACTGGGCTCTACAAAAAAAGACGCCAGCGGGCTCTTCTGAAGCCAGTTCTGAGCTGGTGACATTTGGCAGCTGTGGGCAGTTCATTTCAAGCCCCATTCCACAAGCCGTATGAAAACACGTCATGCCAAATCCAAAGCGCTCACCTTCTCAATGGACTGAGTAGGCTTTCCCCAGTGCAACCTCTCCCGCCACCCCCCAACTGTGCCCCACACACACAAACCACAGGTGATTTGCTTGAGATGAGCTTGGATTGCCAATGAACGACAGGAGCTCTAGCGAGGCTTTGCACAGAGAACGTTATGTGGAAAACCTTCACAAAACCACTGGCTCATTCGAGCACCAAAGGTAACGGGGGCACCCTTCCCTCCGCAGGCTTCTTATGCCGCCGTCGACAGGAGGGGCTAGGCAGAGACCACCTGGAGAGGGGCTGGGTCCGAGGAGGGACCCGTCCCTCTGGCACCCCACTGGAAGAGAGGGGTGGCTCTGGCGCAGCCGTAATTTAAGGATTAGTCTTTTTAAAAATAGTAATAATAATAATAATAATATGGTTTGTTTGCAACTTTGGCACAGAGAAGTTAATAGAAATGGCCCTTGGAAGGCCAGCCCAAGATTAACGCTAGAGGGATGAACTAGCCAAATACAATCGCTCCGTGTTTCCTTTTCAACAGCAACAAGGCAGCAGTTTTTTTCAGTGTGTTCAGAGCCTCTGTCCTGAAACATTTATGGTGCAAGATCACGATGGACAACCTGTGTACAAACAGCAAGTCTCGGCTACCGTGCAGGTGAGCTGCACTTCCTTTGAGCCCCTGTGAAATGGCGGTTCTTGGTGGGAAGCCGGGTGTCCTTTCTCATCCCAGCCAAACTCTGCCCTCCACGACACCAGGGGGGGGGGGGCAGCCTGCCAGACTCACTTTGGGGGCAAAATCGCGCTCAGCGTTAATGCAAAGGGACCAAATTGCCCTGCCCAGAAAGTCACAGCTCACAGTGTGGGGTTTTAAAGGGGTCCAAACGTGTGCCCAGGGTGTTCTGGGCGGCAGGCAAGCTGTGAGCCGACACCAGGAAACACGCTCCCTCCCCGCCAAAAGCATCTCACAGCAGTGACAGTTAGTCAAAAGGAAAGCGAGTCTTAGGGATTAGGAGTGCGCACTTAAAAAAAAATAAGATCAAAAATAAACACAGTGAGAGAAGAAAAATAAGAAGAAAAACCTTCCAGACAGATCATCCCCAACTTCATACTGATAGACACGAATGACACGACGATATGCTATGCTAGTCAAAGAAAAGAAACCAAGTGAATTCCAAATGGGAAAAAGGGAGCACAAAACTGCAAACCAGAACCAGCTCTCAAACAGCGGCAGTCACAAGCAGCAGCACGCCCGGTGCCCCGGCAGACACCAGCCAGTGCGCATGGCGGGGGCCACCTCTCCAGGCACCGGGTGATGCTTCACGCCAAGGAGCCAGGAGCCCCACGTGGGCCGGAGCTCTTGCTGGGCAACGGGGGGGGGGGGAGTGAACAGGCAGAGCTGCCCTCCTCTTCAGGGCCAGACCACAGGTCCAGCTAACCCGAGGCCACCAGCTCCTGGGCCTTCCTGCCCAAAATGTTACCCGGAAGCTTTTTAAGGGAAGTGGGGGCTCCACGACTGAATGTGCTGCAGGGGACCAAGCACACAGTCTCCCGTAGAAGCCTGCCTCTGAATCAAAGGGGGGGGGGAAGTCACTCACTCCTGGATCACCCCTGCCACTGAAGCAGCACCGGCATGTCCTTCCCCTTAAACCCCGGCTTTATCTCTGTGAGGGTTTTATTTTCACCTACGGGGGAACATTCCACATTTGACCCCCACCCCCACCCCACATACACCTGCAGTCTGAAATGGCAGAGGCCGGCAACAGAGCTGTCACCTGGGGATGTTGGCTAGCCGCTTTAGCTCTCTTTCCCATTGAGAGAATGGAGAGGGAAGGCGCTGGACTGACGGAACAGCTGTTTTGCTGTCAGGGTGGAAGGCTGCTAACTGATAAAAGACAGCCTGGAAAGGCAAATTAGAGTCTTCCTTCGCTTTCCCCCCCCAAAGGAGCTGGATTCCATTCCATTATCAGAGACCCAAATCAATTTAGTTGCATTCTGTACACAGCAAAACCACCAAGAGCACACAGCGCCAGGACTTGGTGGATTCCAAGAGGCTGGCTCTCATCAACCGTGTCCAAAAGTGGGAAAGATTCGGGCGGGCAGCCGTGTGGGTCTGAAGCAAGAGAACAAAGCGGCGCCTTCACGACCAACAAAGTTTAATTCTGGGTGTAAGCTTTCCTGTGCGTGCACACTTCATCAGATACAGATCTGATATATAAACACAGATATATAGAGACACAGATATCTGATGAAGTGTGCATGCCCATGAGAGCTTATACCCAGAATTAAACTTCGTTGGTCTTAAAGGTGCCACTGGACTCAAACTTGGTTCGAAAGCGGGAAAATTACTGTTGATTCCTCTTCAGATACAGCTGTGGGTTTCATATGGCATTTGAAGCATCTGGCTGGCCACACACACACACACACACACACACACACCCCACACCCTTTTCCTTCAAGGTTAACAGTGGAATTTAAAAAGCAGGCTGCGTGTCATGGGACCCCGGGGACAGCCCACTTGTCCCAGAAGTACCACTCTTCCCTGTGTTAAGGCCATCATGCTGCTTGCTGCAGGCAGTTTGCTTCTTGGCCATGAGAACGCAGCTGAGAACTGGAGGACTGGGGATGGATTTTCTCTTCCCAGCTTCACACAGGAAACTAGAAGTACAGAATTCCATTACTGCGATTCAGTGCCTAAGAGAAGAACTGTACCTTTGCTGTAGCAGAAAAGCAGCCGTCAAGTTAAGATGCTAAGCGACAGTTACCACATTAGTCCTATGAACACACACAGCACCTTTCGAAATCGTGGAACATTTCTAGCTGGCAAAAGCTCTCTTCCCATTCTCCTGAAGGGGCAAAACAGCTTCTCTATAGAAGGGTCACTGTTTGAAATACAGCTGCAGCCCATGCTTGGCTTAAACGTCTGCTCTGAAGCATGCGGAGGTGCCGATGACACTTGCTGTTAACTATAGGATAACGGGAAGCAACTCTACAGAAACTCCACGTTCCTGTCCGGATCCTCCTCCAGCCAGGGGGGAAGCCACAGGACCCTCCCCGGCCAGGAGACGGGGCAGGAAAGGGCCCTTTCTTCCTCCTCAGCCGCCCTGTGCTCTGTTTCCTGGGCCTCTGACAGCAGATGGGGAAGCTGCTCATGCACGTCCCAGGTAGAGGACCTCAGACAAGACTGCTTCTGACGCAGCTCTCGCAAGCAAAGCAATGGCAGGAGGAAGCAGACACGCACGCACACACACACACACACACACACAAACAAGAGCTTTTCTGAAATGTGACGTTTTGTACTAACCCATCGAGCAGGTAGGTCCTGAGGGACAGGATGCCCAAACAGCAGGCCGCAGGAGAAAGCGGTTCCAGACGCGGGAAAGGGGAGGGCGGAGAGAGAAGGGAAGAGCACATGAGCTCCCGTATACATTTCAGAATACGAGCAAATCCACCCAGAGGTGGGGCTTGTGGATGGGGCACTCAACTCCCCCCCCCCCAAGGCCCTTCTGC